GTCACTTATATAGACTATCATATTATTTGCAAATAGTGATACTTTGAATTCTTCCTCTCCAATTTGTATCCTCGTGATCTCCTTTAGTTGTCTTACTGTTCTACCTAAAACTTCAAGTACTATATTAAATAGATATAAAGAGAGTGGACAACCTTGTCTTGTCCCTGATTTTAGTAGAATTGCTTTAAGTGTCTCTCCATTTAATTTGATGGTGGCTATCAGCTTGTTCTACATCATCTTTAACATGTTTAGGTACGTGTCTTACATCCCTGATCACTCTAAGACTTTTTATCACAAAGGGTGTTAGACTTTGTCAAAGGCTTTTCAGCACCCAACGGGATGATCTTGTGTTTTGTTGTTGTTTTTTTTTTTTCCTTTCAGTTTGTTTATATGACAGATTGCATTGAGAGATTTTTGTATGTTGAACCATCCCTGGATCTCTGGTATGAAGCCTACTTAATCATGATGGATGATATTTTTGATATGTTCTTAGATTTGGTTTGTATTTTCTTGAGTACTTTTGCATCAATGTTCATAAAGGAGACTGATCTGAAATTCTCTTTCTTGGTTGAATCTTTGTGTAGTTTAGGTATCAGGGGGACTGGCCTCATAAAATGAATTTGACAGTGTTCCTTCTGTTTCTGTTTTATGAAATAATTTGAGGAGTATTGGTATTCACTCTTCTTTGAAGGTCTGGAAGAATTCTACATTAAAACCATCTGGCTCTGGATTGATTGATTGATTGATTGGGAAACTTTTAATGACAAATTCTATTTCCTTCAAGGTTATAGGTTTGTTTAGATTGTTTGCCTGATCTTGCTTTGGTAAGTGGTATCTATCAAGAAAATAGTCAATTTTGTTTAAATTTTTCAATTTTGTGGAGTACAGGTTATTGAAGTAAAACCTAATGATTCGCCGGGCGGTGGTGGCGCACGCCTTTAATCCCAGCACTTGGGAGGCAGAGACAGGTGGATTTCTGAGTTCGAGAGTTCGAGGCTAGCCTGGTCTACAGAGTGAGTTCCAGGACAGCCAGGGCTACACAGAGAAACCCTGTCTCAAAAAACAAAACAAAAAACAAAACAAAAAAAACCTAATGATTCTTTGGCTTTCCTCAGTGTGTGTTCTTATGTGCCCCTTTTCATTTCTGAGTTTACTAATTAATTATTCTCTTTCTTCCTCTTAGTTAGTTTGGCTAAGGATTTATCTATCTTGTTGATTTTTCTCAAAGAACAAGCTCTTGGTTTTGTTGATTCTTTGTATTGTTCTCTTTGTTTCTAATTGATTGATTTTAGCCATGAGTTTATTTCCTGCACTCTACTCCTCTTGGGTGTATTTGCTTCTCTTTGTTCTTGAGCTTTCAGGTATGTTAAGTCACTAGTATGAAATCTCAGTAATTTCTTTATGAAGGCACTTATTGCTATGAATTTCCCTCTTAGCATTACTTTCATTGTGTCCTTAAACTTAGGTATGGTGTGCATTCATTTTCATTGAATTCTAGAATGTCTTTATTTCTCTGACCCAGTGGTCATTCAGTAGAGAGTTGTTCAGTTTCCATGAGTTTGTAGGCTTTCTGTTGTTTCTGTGGTTGTTGATGTCCAGCTTCAATGGTGGTCTGATAAGATACAAAGAGTTACCTTGGTTTTCTTGTATCTCTTGAGATTTGTTTTGTGACTGAGTATATGGCCAGTTTTGGAGAAAGTTCTTGAAGTGCTGAGAAGAAGGTATATTGCTTTGTTTTTGGGTGAAATGTTCTGTAGATATTTGTTAGGTCCATTTGAGTCAGAACATCTGTTCCATAATTTTTCTGTTTAGTTTCTGTCTGGATGACCTGTCCATTGGTGAGAGTGGCATGTTGAAATTTCCCACTATTAATGTGTGGGGTTCAATTTGTGATTAAGCTTTAGTAAAGTTAAGAATGTGGGTACTCTTGCATTTGGGGCATAGATATTCAGAATTGAGATGTCATCTTGGTGTTTTTTTTTCTTTTGATTAGTGTCTTCCATCTCTTTTGATTAATCATGGTTGGAAGTCGATTTTTATTAGATGTTAGAATGGCTATCCCAGCTTTCTTCTTGGGTCTGTTTCCTTGAAAATTTTTTTCTAGCCTTTCACTCTGAAGTAATGTCTATCTTTTATGTTGAGGTATGGTTCTTTATGCAGCAGAATGATGGATCCTGTTTTCACACCCATTCTGATAGTCTGTGTCTTTTTATTGAGGAATTGAGTCCATTGATGTTGAGATATATTAACGACCAGTGATTGTTAATTCCCATTATTTTGATGGTGGTGGTGATACTGTGTGTGTGTGTGTGTGTGTGTGTGTGTGTGTGTGTGTGTGTGTGTTCTTCTTTTGTTTTTGCTGGTGTGAAATTATTTCCTGTGGTTTTTTGGATTTAGTTAAGCTCCTTGGGTTGGAGTTTTCCTTCTAGTATATTTTGTAGAGCTGGATTATGGATAGATATTGTTTAAATTTGGTTTTGTCATGGAATATCTTGTTTTCTCCATCTATAGTACCAGAAAGTTTTGCTGGGTATAGTAGTCTGGGCTGACATGTGTTGTTTCTTAGAAAGTACAAGACATTTGCCCAGGACCTTCTGGCATTTAAAGTCTCTATTGAGAATTCAGGTATAATTATGATAGGTCTACCTTTGTATGTTACTTGGCCTTTTTGCTGTGTAGCTTTTAATATTCTTTCTTTGTTCTGTACATTTAGTGTTTTGATTATTATGTAGTTGGAGGATTTTCTTTTTTGGTCCAGTCTATTTGGTGTTCTATACCCTTCTTGTATGTTTACAGGGATCTCTTTCTTTAGGTTAGGGAAATTTTCTTCTATGATTTAGTTGAAAATATTTTCTAGGCCTTTGACCTGGGAGTCTTCTGTTCCTATTAATCTTAGGTTTAGTCTTTTCAGTGTCCCATATTTCCTGAATGTTTTATGTCAGAAACTTTAGATTTAACATTTTCTTTGATCAATGTATTGATTTCTTCTATCCTGTCTTCTATGCCTGAGATCTCTCTTCCATCTCTTGTATTCTGTTGGTGATGTTTGTGTCTATAGTTTCTGTTCTCTTACCTAGGTTTTCCATCTCCAGGATTCCCTCAGTTTGTGTTTTCTTTTTTGCTTCTATTTCCATTTTCGGGTCTTGAACAGTTTCGTTTGTTTCCTTCACCTGTTTGATTGTATTTTCCTGTATTTCTCTAAGGTATTTATTCATTTCCTCTTTAACGGCATCTGTCATCTTCATAAGGTTGGATTTAAGGTCATTTTCTTATACTTTGGCTGTGTTAGGATATCTAGGGCTTGATATAGTAGGATAGCTGGACTCTGGTGGTACCATATTGCCCTGGTTGTTGTTGATTGTGTTCTTACACACTGGTCTTTAGCCATCTGATTGACTCTGATACCCAAAGGTCTCCAGGAATGCAGGCAGAGCTGTGAGCTGGAAAATGGAGTGCAGAGGGAATGAGCCAATTTACTACTATTGGGTGTGCTTTACAGGGACTTGGAAGGCAGAGGATTCAGGGAGCAGAGTCTTCCCTGTTTGTCCCTGGTGTCAGCAAGCCTCTGGGAATCCAGGCAGAGCCCTGGGTTGGAAAATGGAGCTCAGGGACAAGGGCTCTGTTCACCACTGCTGGAGACCCCGGTTTGCCTACGTTTTTTAATAAGCTTTAGTGATGAATGCTTTAGACACATTTAGGTTATTCTAAATTATCTACATAGTAGACTTAAATAATTGGGTGGATTTTATGGCTAACAGATATTTACTATAGTTATAGAATATTCTCACTGAAAAGAGAGTTGCAATTTCAGATGCTGGCTTTGGCCTCCTAGTGTCTTAGCAGATTCTGCATAGGATCTCGTGTTTCAGAACACATATCCTCACTGCCCACACTGTCCTTCCCTCACCCTGTGATGTCAGCTCATGTGATATCATCTCTCAGGACTCTTCCAAATGCTTCCCTTCCAGCTGTTGCAGTCCCACAGATGCAGCTGCTTCTGGGCTGTAATACTAACAAATATATGGATATGTTTCATGTTTGTGAATAGAGTATGAAACATTTAAAAAGCAGTCCAAATAATAAAAATTAAAATCTATTCATTCTTTTATAAAACATAAATAATTTGGAACTTTTTATAAAAACAGGTATTAGATTTTTTTTCACATAATCTGCACCTAGCCTTATCTTCAACTGAATTGAGTTTTCAACTGTATCTGACAGTTGTAAGATCTTGTTACATCATTTCTTCTGCTATTGTCCATGAAAGAGATTTATTACTTAGTCGTTCTGTGATTATAAATTGGGTATGTATTCTTGACATGAACTTTACATAAATCCAAATCATAGAGACAGTGTACAACAAATCAAATCTACTTAGCCATCTCAGTGGCCCCCAGCCTCTGTATTTCTGTCCTTAGAGGTTCTCTTTGGTATTTCATTTTAGTTAAACTTTACACTGATAGAGCTTCCTTTATAGTCAGTCTAATGCCGTATATATTTCTCCTTACTCTGGGTTTAGCTTACACCATTCCTCTGCATATAAATAATTCTTATGGCTATTAATTAATAGCTCTGTAGGATTCAGAAATTTCTTTCCAAAAAGACAAGCTCTTTGTAACCTCCTTACTTAGCTATATCAGTTTATAAGTTAACTGACCTGTACATTATCAAGAAAGGAATTAAGATCAATGTAAGATTCCTTGTGCTATAAAAAAATTCTAAAATTGATAGTCTTTCAGATGAAATTTTAAAACAAATAATATACAGTATTAAAAGAGTAGATCATCTTGTACCTGTGTTTCTGGTCCTACCTTTCTTCTAGAAAATAAGGATAGGTGTCTCAGTAGTAGAACACTTGCCTGGCAGCTCAAGGCCCTGGGATCCAGCCCCATCATTGTGAGAAAAAAACGTGCTCAGTTAGAGCCAAGATACATGTATAAGTTAGTCCCAAGATTCTCCAGTGACAGGGCAACTGATGATATCATATCAAATGTTCTTAGCCCTCAGGGGAACCACAAGACCAGGATGTGTTACTAGAAGAAATGACAAGATATCCACCATTTCCAAAGTCACTCGTCTCTTCTTCAGAGGGACTGCATCTAAGCCTGCCTGAATCAAATAAGATGCTCATGCATGGCACCCAGAAGCATCCCAGCACCCCTCCATCCAGGTACTCAGGCTGTGGACATGGCTGTGACAGGCGGCCTAGGAGTGCCCACCAGTTCCAGGTACTCATCTCCAAGACACCAAGTGGAGATCTGTTAGAAAAGCACTCTGACCTCTTCTCTAACAATCAATCGCCATTCACTCCACGGACCTTAAAAACAGAAGCAAAGTCCTTCCTATCACAGTACCGCTATTACACACCTGCCAAAAGAAGAAAGGATTTTTCAGATCAGCGGATGGAAGCCGAAACCCAAACCGAATTAAGCAGGTCTGTATGGCTTGTCCAGAGCTGACTGCAAGGCCAGCGAGTCAATGGAAATGATTAATAAGCAGTATTTCTTTCTTTGTTGTACACTTTGTATGCCAGCCTTGAGATCCGGCTGGGCTTTTCAATGAGTTAGTTGACGTTCCAATGGGTTTTAGAAGCAGCACAGTAACTTTTTTGAAGCTATTAGATTTGTTAAGTTCTTATGAGTGCTATATAAGTTGTTGTAAACATAGTTCTTGGACTTTTGTATGTTCTTAAATGTTGCATTTTCAGAGAAGCCTTAAGATATAGTACCAGATACTATAGTTATAGATATGTATCCACGTTAACAATGGTAAAACAGTGAAGCCCAGAGGGGAAAATAAAATCCTGTCCAGTTCCCTGTGTCTCTTTTCCTGGCACAGATTCATAGCTAATATGGTAACAGCTGCAGGCATGACAGTTGAGAGAACATCTGGAAATTAAGTATGATTTGCCTTGACAGGGTTTCCTTCTCCTGTAGTGGGTGGGTCATGACAAACATACAGTAAGTTTGCAAAGTAATTGAAATTTATTTTGTACTAGATTTTGGTTGTTCAAGAAGTCAAACATTGTAAGACTGCTTTTATGAGTACAGACATGAGGTGCAATGATAGCAAATTCATGTGTATTATTTAATTTTAAAAAGGAATAGGGTCTGTAATAGAAACCATCAACTGGAGGAGGAATGAAGAACCCTGGCGGATTTGGCAGCACAGATACTAAAACTGAAGTGAGGCAGATTAGCGTGGTCGCTGTGCACCCATGCAAAAACTGGGGTGCAGGCTGTGCTGGGAGGAGCTAGGAGACAGTAAACAGAGTGCAGCTAACTGGGGTGCAGGCCACACTGGGAGGAGCTGGGGGACAGTAAACAGTGAACTAGAAACATGTCTGAAATTATCCAAGAACAAGTTTAATAGGTAAGAAAAGAAAGATGCAGAAACTATCATATCTTTATAAATGTTATAGTCTCATTTCTCTTGCCCCACTGTATATTTAACTGAAATCTACTTTTCAAGTAAGGAAAAGGAAGCATATGTGAACCGAATCATGTCTATTTTCAGATTCATAATTAGAAATAACACATTTTTTAAAAAAGTAAATAGTTGGGATTTTATTCGCTTATACTATTCTTTTTTTTTTTTTTTTACAATAAAGCTTGTTGTTGCTGTGTTTATAAAGAAGTAACAATCATTTCTTTGTAAATGTTGTAGCTTTGACTCTGAGCTTGGGACAGCTGAAAAAAAGAGCTCAAAGGATTCAGAAGTGAACATAAAACAGGTACTAAACAGACGATCTTTGGAATTGTAGGTGCTTTGACTTCTGTAGAATACATACAGCTATTTGGACTATCAGGAGTGACCTGTTGTGTCTGAAGACAGCTACAGTATACTCATATACATAAAATAAATAAGTAAATCTTTAAAAAAAAAAAAAAGTCAAGCACAGATTTAGGGATACAAAAACAAATTAATCACACTCAACTTCTTTTTCCTCCTCTGAAAATGGGCAGGAAGAGATGAGTTTACATTTCAGCCATTGATAGCTTTCTGACAGAGGGGCCACTTAAGGGTCAGAGAGAAAATATCCTCTGAGAACCAAGTGTCTTCCTAAAAAACTAACTAACCTGCAGGGTCCTTGGGAGAAGGCAAAGTTCCTAGCCTGGGAAAGGCTTCAAAATGATGCCTGGCTTTACCCTGAGTTTTTATGAAAGTAGTTAGGCCTGTAGATAAGTAAGTACATTGACCTGGGGCAGGCAAGCAATGCGCTCAGTACAGAAGCCTGATAACCTAGTTCCCCGGAACCACTACGGAAGGAGAAAACTGATTCCCAAAGTGTCTGCTGACCTCTACACGTGCACTGTGGCATGCACATGCATATGCCTGCACTCACACAATCAACATGCACACGTCACTGTCATCTTCGTAGTAATGATAGTGTGAGTGAACATGTTGAGGGATTCAAGTGTTCATAGTCCTTCAAGAAAAGGACGGGTCCTCACAGGAGTGTAGGAGCTGAGAGTGCTAGTGGAGTGGAAACTACAGTACATCTACACTTTCGCTTTTAGAACTGTAAAGCATTTTACATAAGTCAGCTCTGTAGGGCTGGGATGTCACTTGGTAGCATGAGTAAAGCCAGTATACCATACTGTATGGACTTGCAGTGACGCTGTAATGGTACGTGCTCGTTCCTGTCTTTTTGTTGTTGTTGTTGTTGTTTGTTTGTTTTCGAGACAGAGTTTCTCTGTGTAGCCCTGGCTGTCCTGGAACTCACTCTGTAGATCAGGCTAGCCTCGAACGCTCGAACTCAGAAATCAGCCTGCCTCTGCCTCTCAAGTGCTGGGTTTAAAGGTGTGTGCCACCACCACCCGGCCATTCCTGTCTTTTATCTTCATTTCTTGATGTTTTCATTTTGAGACAAGTTATGTGGAACTCACTATAAAGACCAGGCTGGCCCAGCTCGGCTTCTGCGTGTGCCACCATGCCCAGCAGTTGTTTTGTATGTTTGTTTTGTTTATGTGTACGGACGTTTTGCTTACATCCAGGAGCCATCATTTTGTTTGTTAATATTGTTCATGTGCATTGCTCCTGCAGCTGCTTTCATGTGTGACATAGGGGTGTTTGACACAGATGCGCTTTTTAATCATGGATTTTTTTTCACATTTACGTAAAAACTACACATTTGTATCATTTTCATGGATTTCAATTCTATCTTTTGTTTTTTTTTTCCAATGTGGATGAGCACATGTATATGTGTAAGAGGAGGATGTCTCCCGTCCAAGTAGTAACCAGACCAGCTCTGCTTAGTCTCTGGGGTCAGACAAGATGGGCACTTTCATGGATAGCCAGGTGTAGGAGCTCATCTTTAATCCCGGTACGTGGGAGGCAGTCAAGAGCAACCTGATCTACACAACAAGTTTCAGGACAGTTGAAGCTACCTAGTGAGACCTTATCTCAAGTGAATAAACATGTAAGAGACAGTATGACTGCAGAGCACTCGAGGTGAGATCAGACTGTCTTGGCAGGCGCCCCAGGTCTACCTAGAGTGGTGACCCTCGTCCTTCAGGCTCTTCAGAGCTGGGTTATATACACGGACTCCTTCCTCAGCCTGTAACTTATGATTTCCTAATGCTTTTTTTTTTTTTTTCTATTTTTGGTTTGGTTTGGTTTTTTGAGACAGGGTTTCTCTGTGTAGCCCTGGCTGTCCTGGAACTCACTCTGTAGACCAGGCTAGCCTCGAACTCTGAAATCCTCCTGCCTCTGCCTCCCAAGTGCTGGGATTAAAGGTGTGCGCCACCACTGCCCGGCTAAATGACTTCATTTTTATGTTAATGGCACCATTTAAAGAGCATTGCGAGGGGGGGGGGGGTGGCATACGCCTTTAATCCCAGCACTTGAGAGCCAGAGGCAGGCTGATTTCTGAATTCGAGAGTTCGAGGCTAGCCTGGTCTACAGAGTGAGTTCCAGGACAGCCAGGGCTACACAGAGAAACCCTGTCTCGAAAAAAAAAAAGAAGTCATTTCATCTTTAAATAAACCTGAGGAAAATGCTGACTGTGTAAACTATTCTGAAGAGTTTTTGTTTTAATCTATCAGGTACTTTTGTGTATTCATTTTTTTTTACTCACTCTGTAGACCGGGCTGGCCTCAAACTCAGAAATCCACCTGCCTCTGCCTCCCAAGTGCTGGGATTAAAGGCGTGCGCCACCACCGCCTGGCTAAAACATACTTTTGAAACAAAATAAAAATGTATTGTTTTTGTTCCACTTCCAGGCACCCAGTTACATGAGAAATGGTGCTGAAGACAAAATAGCTCCTGTGCCCTCACAAGGACAAAATGTAGCGTGGGACAATATTAAAGATGGGATTCTGCAGCAGTCCTCAGAAAGGTGGGTGGCAGCCTCAAACCTGGATCTGAACATGGTGGAGGGGGGCCTGAGGCAGGAGGATTACTGAAAGTTCGAGATCAGCCTAGGTTGGAGTGAAACCCCATCTCCATGTAATGGACATACAGTATTTCCCCTGAGTACTACTTTAGTATATATTTTAGTGTTGCACAATCCTATGGCACTAAGGAAATTTGATAAAAATGCTCAGTAAAGGTTAGACTTGGTTTTGCTAACGTGCTGATAAAGGGAAAGGGATGTTCGTTTCCAGTGGCTGCTCTGGAGGAGAGATTCTCTGGCAGCCTTACCATTTGATGAGTTGAAATCTGTGATTTGGAGACTGACAAGCTGTCTCAGCAAGTGAAAGTACTTGCCTTACAAGCCTGATTAACAGTTGGATCCCCAAAAGCAGTGATCTCATGGTACTTGTCTATATATGTCTATACACACACATACACACACACACACACACACACACACACACACACACACACACGGTCACACAATAACTAATAAAATTTTCAGAAACCAAGAGATTGTGATGTGGACCATTCCCACATGCCAGTGTTTGGTGTGCCCGGCTGGTGAGAGATGCTCTGTAAAGACCTCTCCTCGTGTTTAGTGACTGACATTCACACCTAGCACAATGTGGGACCAGCAGGTTTGCCTCTCGACTGCATTTCCCCTGTAAGAAACTGGGTGTGAGATAAAGGGAGAAGAGCTTTCACTCGGGAAGAAGGAGGACATGTTTGGGATCAGAAAAGAATGTACAGACCCTCAGGGCTCAGCTTCTCCCTCGGGCCTTTCTTAGGGAGAGCCAGCCGAAGGCCACAAGTAGGCTGAGTTTTAATTCCCTGTCCTTGAAACTCATTGCACTTGTACACACACGCACGCATGCACATACCCACAGAATTAACTCACGGTAGGAAAATGCACAGACACAAATTCCAAAGCATATCATTGCTAATGTAGAATACCAGTCACACAACATATGCCAACCTTTTATGTTGTCATTAAAATATTTACTTTTCTCTCTTTCTGGGACACCCTGTAAGCTCTCCACACAGTTTTCTCCACACAGTAAAGTCTACTCTGAGTAAGATCCTGTCGGCCTCTTCATACTGTGGTGGATTAAGCCTGGGGACATGAGACCATTTAAGACTGGAGCTCATCTCTCTCCTCCCAGCTTTGGACTATCAATTGTTTAGTCAGTGCTGATGGAGGAACTATGGCATTTTATCTCTAGTAGAATTGTGTCCCGAAGTTAATAACATCTGTTGATAATTTCTAATTGTAATTATAAAATTCTTGCTTATTTCTATAATAAGACAGTAAAGAAGCCTGCAGGGAATGATTTGAAACTCAGGGTCTCTTTGGTGGTTTGGGATGCATACCGTGTCATCGATGGTGTCAAAGGTTAGATTACAGTTTTAAGTTACATTTTTCAAGAAAATAGTGTATTTTATAGTTTTATTTATTTCCAAGCCTGGTTGTTCTTAAGCAAGTTCCTGTGGCTTGGTTTCAAACACACCGGTTACTCAGCCACCTCTCCCCAAGTAGTGCATTCAGCAGTCAAGTATTCTCTTGCCGTTTCCCTTCCTTCCTGAGTTAGCTAAGTAGAATCAATTATAACAGAATCCTAACCTTCTTATAACAGGCACTAAAATTTAGACATTAAATAGTATAATAAATGAACACATTTTTGTGTTCAAGCAATTTAAAAATTACTACAGCATTTTCATCTAAAAAAATGCCTATTAGAAATTCTTTTCTTGCCGGGTGGTGGTGGTGCACACCTTTAATCCCAGCACTTGGGAGGCAGAGGCACGCGGATTTCAGAGTCCGAGGCTAGCCTGGTCTACAGAGTGAGTTCCAGGATAGCCAGGGCTACACAGAGAAACCCTGTCTCGAAAAAAACAAAAACAAAAAAAAAAAAGAAATTCTTTTCTCTTTTATAGGGATTTTGAGAAAAAAAATTCTTTCTCCTCAGTAAATTTCCTAATTTAAACATAAGATGCTGAACTCAATAAGGATTATGCTGCCCTGGGTGACATCTCCCTTAGTCTTTCTGCTGTTGTGAATATTCCAGAAAGATGAAGCTTTCCTCTGTTGGGTGCTAGTTTCTCACTTTTACTATTTTCCTTTTTGAACATGAGAAAACAGATGTGTTTTATAACATTCCCTGTCCTCAGGGGTAGCAGTCCCTGTGATGGGAGCGGGGCGCTCCTGCCTGGGCTCTCTTGCCATGCAAGGGCTCTGACACTCTCTTCCTCTGCAGTGAAGAAGAACTGCTGTACCTGAGTTTCATGGAAAATGTGACGGATGAGATCTTGAAACTTGGTCTATTTTCTAACAGGTTAGAAGGGTTTGATTTTTTTTTTAATGTTTATAGTACTTGATGTTCATTAAATATTTTTCATACTATATGATTTTTTTAAAGTTACTTATGAGGTTGCAAAAAGTTATATTGTTTTTATGATCATTTTCTTATAATTGATAGAAAATTATAAAGACTATTTCACACTCCATAGAAAACAATATTTTATTTAAATATTTTATTTAAATATTATAATATCTTGGTTTATATCAGAATATATAATGAATGGAATTTTTGCTATCTGGACAGCCTTCCAGAAGGACCCAGGTTCAGATCTCAGCACCCACATTGTGAGCCAAGTATGGTCTCGTTCAGGGCAGTCAGAGGCAGAGGCAAGAGGTTTACTGCGGTTTGCTGGTTGCCAGCCTACCTAAAAACAGGAAGTTCAATTGAGGAGAGACCTTGCCTCACAGGAATAGGCAAAGAATGATAGACAGATTCGGTCCTTGACCTTGAGGGATACACAGGCATGCACACAAACAAAACTACTAACTTTAAGAGCTACATAGGGAGTTTCTAAGTTTCAAGGTGAGACAGTCACTTCCCAGCAGCACCGATGTGTGGAACTCTACTGGACTCCACATTTTACATGGTTACATGGTAACTTATATGTTTTTTAATACAACCCCAAAATTTGCATATCATTTACATGTTTCCTTAAATGTTTATATTTTCCTCTTATGATTTAGCATTGGTTCATAAAACCAAACATAGAACCAGACTGAGAAAGAAAGTAAATGGTACAGGATGGAGTTCTTACACTGAAGGTGTTCACAGTGCACCTAGTTGATGAGAAAATGTGTGTGTGTGTGTGTGTGTGTGTGTGTGTGTGTGTTTATATCGAAATAATATGTTTATTTAATCCCAGCTTAAGGAAATACATAAGCATAGAACAATGTCCAGGAGTGCAATTCCAAAATGTTAACAGTAGCTATAGAGTAGGGTACAAGTTTCTGGATCCTTTAAAAATGATAGAATAACCCAGGCCTCCTGGGTTACTGCATGTTGTTGAGCATGAACAATGATAACTTGAGTGACCAAGGAAATTGTTTCCGGAGACTCGTGAATAGTTCGTGTGGTAATGGGTCTGCTGTAGAAAGAATACCTTCCCTGAAGCTAGTCACTTCTCAGTTACATTCTCTGAAGGGATTGTGACCTTTGCTTCTCAGTGAAATTTTCTGAAAGGACCACAGGGGAGAGGAAACGCATCCTAGAGATGTAATTTCTCATCTTTAACATGGTTTTCACTGGCCTTCAGATCCTGGCTTAGGCAGAAAGAGAGGTAAAATTGCTGCTGTGGGCTGGGCGTGGTAGCACACACCTTTAATCCCAGCAAGGAGGCAGATCTCTGAATTCCAGGTCAGTCTGGACTGCTTAGCATTCCAGGCCAGCCAGGGCTACATAGTAGACTGTGTCTGGGTTGGGTGGGGGTAGACTATGTTTAACATAAATACCTGGGACTCACCTGGAGGCTGTTCTGTAGGCTTGGCATCAACGGAGTGTATACTTCAGGAGCCAGGGCTAACTAGTTCTCTGAGAGCATTTTCTGTAGGATTTGGTGAAGAGCACAGGGAGCTTTTAGTGTCTGTGTGTCTAATGGGGAGAGAGATTTGCAGGCAGTTTTATACTTCACCTAAAACCTTCACAGAAACATAAATAGTACACAATCCTTCAGATAGACTGGCATCTGTTATATAACTTAAAAACAAATGCGTAACGGAAGCCAGGCTGCCTGCCAGGTTAGAGAACTTGACAGAGCAGGAAGGATTAGTTTCTAGCTTTGCAGAGAAAACCATTCATCTGAAAACCACTTTCCAGCCTTTGTCGGTTTCTATATTTTGTAACTATTTTACATTTAGTGGATTATCTAATTCTAAGATACTAATATTTTTCTTTATCATTTATAGGTTTTTAGAACGACTGTTTGAGCGACATATAAAGAAAAATAAACATCATTTGGAGGAGGTCTGTCTTTCTTTGGAATTTAATGTTTTTCTGTTCTCTGAAAGAATGTATTTTATTTAAAACAGGCACTTTCCCCCTGTGCTTTTTATGAGGGGAAGGGGGCGGGGGCTGTGAACGTGTTGGTCCTCTGAGCAAGCAGCACTGCAGATACGGGAGCCCGGTCTTAATAGCTTAGCTAATGTAATGAGCCTCAGGATTGCCTTTCTCCCTTGACCCTAGGGGAAGATGCGCTGCCTGCTGCACGGGCTGAAGGTTGACTTAGGCTGTATATCTGAGGAAGATCCAGCAAAGCAAAAACAGTTCAGAATGTTGAATCAACTTCATTTTCAAAAGCCTCTGATTACAAGAGAAAACAAATTTATAAGTGATGAAGAAATAATAAGTCACCATGAGCGTCAGCAGTACCAGGAGGCCCTAGACATGCTGTCATCTATGCCGAAGGACGAAAACAAGATGTTCTCTTTACCGGGGGAATTTTTAATACCCGCCCATAAAGCCAAGCATTCAGAAGGTGTTATAATTCAACAGGTCAGTGATGAAACAGATCATGAAGCCTTACCCTGGGATGAAAACAATCCAAGTGTTTCTGATAGTTTAGCAGACCAGGAAACCTCTGTGGATGTCATTGAAGGTGACAGTGACTCTGAAAGGGTTGAGACTTCCAGGGAACTCTGTTGTCTAAGCACATCACTGTCCCCGTCAGTTCCATTCCCCAGCATCGAAGGTGGCAGTAATCATGATAAGGAATTATCCACTCTAAAAATCATGGAAATGAGCATTGAAGACTGACCTTTGGATCTTCATTAATAAATACTCCATGTGGCCAGTAACTCAATATTACTTTTCTTCTTCTTTTGTCCCCTTTTACATATTAAGATTTCTGTAATTTCAATGCTGTGTAATAAATTACCATAAATTTAGTGTCTTGAAACACCACATATTTATTATTAATCTCACAGACTGTGGTTCAAGAATTGAAATACAGAGTGATGGGCTTTCTACTCTGGTTCAGAAGCTACCATCCAGGTGGTATTCAGGTCTGTGATCTCCTCAGGAGGCTTGACTGAGGGAGAAGCTGCTTCTCTGCTTCAGTAGCCTGCAGGATTCGTTTTCTTGCACAGTAGATCTGAGGGTTTCATTTGGTTTTGGCTGGCTGGTGAACAGATGGCTGCTTGCCATCTCTTGCCACGTGCATTCTCCCTAAGCAGATCACAGCATGGCTGCTTGCTCTTTGATGGCAAAGGAGAACCACAGAGACTGCTAGCAAGACAGTCACTTTTTGCCTTAACTCCTTTGGCTAGAAGCAGGCAAGTCATGGGTCTCTTGCACTCCTCTTCAGGGGTGAGGGGACGGTACAGAAGAGTGCAGATGCAAGGGTGGAAACCCCTGGGTTACCTGAGGCTCCTTCGACACCACTTCTAAAGTCATTTTTCAGAGGAACATGTTTAATCCAACATAGTGGTCTCATGGGCATTTGGGATGGTCTTAAAACATTGCATCTTATAATTAAAGTACGGAGGCCTTAGGGTTATGAGTTTGAGCTCAGCTTGTCCTATAATAGAGACTCTGTCTCAAACAAAAACCAGAGACCACACAAAATGAAAACAGTGCTTCAAGAGACCAGCCTCTCTTTTGTCTTTTCAACTATTTACAATAATATGATTGGCTATTCAGCCACTGGGATGTGCTAAGTTTTCATGTTGCCAGTGTGGCAAGAGGTAGGGAGTGGATGTCTATGGTTTGAGGATGACAAGCTGACCTGGGAGAAACCTGCAGTGCTGAGGTGGAGTCTCCTACACCATGGCTGTTGTCCCATAATGCATCCCTTCCTCAAGCCTCTGGAGATCTCTCAACTCTTAAGGCAGGGTCTTGTAACTCAGGCTTGTCTGAAACTGCTGTGTTAGCAGAGGATGGCCTTGAACTTCTGACCTTCTTGCTTCAACCTCCCCAGTGGTGGTATTAAAGGCTATGCTGTTTTAGAGGGTGTTGAGGACTGAGCCTGCGTCCTTGTGCATGTGAGGCAAGCACTCTGCCAACTGAATCTCTAGCATCGTCATGCTTCTGAGCCCTTGACAAAGATCAAGTATTAATGGCATCTTTCCCCATGCTTCCTTCATCTTAGCTCTTGAGCTAGCCTTGGACTCCTCATCTACCCACTTTTATTTAATTTCTGAACTCCATCTTTCCTCAGCAGTAGCTGTACAACAAACAGATCCTTATCCGTTGCCCATCAGCAGACCCCGACCCTGGCTGCTGCTTCCTCTAACTCTGAGTGTGTGTGTGCGTGTATGTACGTGTGTGTTTGGAGCCCCCATTCTAATCTGTATACTTCTTAGGACACTTTGCTATGATCCTTTAGTTTCTCTTCAATTTTTGTTTTTTTTTTTTTAATTTATTTATTTATTATATGTAAGCATTCTGTAGCTGTCTTCAGACACCCACAAGAGGGCATCAGATCTCATTACAGATGGCTGTGAGCCACCGTGTGGTTGCTGGGATTTGAACTCAAGACCTCTGGAGGAGCAGTCAGTGCTCTTAACCACTGAGCCATCTCACCAGCCCCCAATCTTTGTTTTAAAAGATGAGTTGATATAAAGAAATATTAAAACTGGTTCTTGGGCTCTTGTTCCGTTGACCTGCGCCTGCAGGTTGCCATCTTCCCTCCCCCCCCCCCCCGTCCCTTCCCCCTCTCTCCACGTGGTCATGGCCGGCCTCTACTCTCTAATCCTTTCTCTCTCCCTCTCTCTCCCATGTGTTCTGCCCCACACCTCTTTCTAATTTTTCTTCTGTAATTAATTAAACCAAAATGGGGAAATTACTGTGACTCTGGCGGATGTCTGCAGGTTCCACATGCACTAGCCTAGAACTGGAGCACTGGCTCTCTTCCACGGGTGAGCCTTTCGTGCACTTCTCCCCCTCCTCCCCCGTCATCTGCGGCCGCCTAGACCCGGTTCAGACGGTTTGCCTGGAAAGCAAAGCAGCAATCTGGAATCTGGCTTGCTCCCTTCACCTTCTCTGCCGCCGGTCAGCTGGTTTGCCTGCTCTCTTCCCTCTGTGGTTCTTAGCTCTGCTCTGGGTCTTCCCCTTACATCCTGCTGCCTGGGACCTGTAAAATGAGTGTCAGTGCCTTCCGCCACAAAAACTAACGTTGCAGTGATACGGGACATGCTTACTTTTCCTAACTACAGCCGCCAGAGTCACTGGGCAGCGACTTCTAGCAGCCAGCAGGAAGTCCCACCCTGCTGCCACCAGCAGACCTGACTCACAGCACCTGTGACTCACAGCTTCAACCCGCCAAAGTTACTTAAGACTCTTTCCTAACCTGCCTCCATAGATTCTTATTCAGTTACAACCAATCCTTATGGCTCTCAATCTTGTCAGAAGTCTGCTAACAGTATATTTTAAGTTGATGACTGACAGATTGCCCAAAGCCTCTAACAGTTTCCCAAGATGGTTTCAGAAGACTCCGACACCAGACTCCAAGAACATACAGCCTAGATTGTATGTGAACAAATGCAACGAGACACCCTGAGTCAAATGACTTGGCTAAATCAAGGTAAGTCACTTCTCATGTCACGCGTATCCATTCCACAGAAAAAAGCCCTGCATCTTCTGTGCTTGAAAACCAAACTGACTTCACCCAAGAGACTATGGAAACCACTGGAACTGTTGGCTAGTGGACTCTGTCACTTTTTAAAAATAATATATAACTGGTAGATTGTTGTTTACTCTTTATCAGACTTCTGACTACATTGACAGCTAAGTTTTCACAGATATTATCTGTTACCTCATTACCTAAACTCAGTTGAAAGACTACTTGTGTTAACTCATGCTGTTATCTGTTTTGTAAACTTATAAGCTACAGGAAACCCATTCAGATCTACCTCTCATGGATGCCATCCAGATAAGTACATCTGCCTAAAATTCCCACTTACTACCTATAACAAAGGGTGGGATCCCTCTGGGTTTCAAATGTACATCTTAGAAAAAATTCTTTCCCCAAGTGTTCTTAATCTTATTTCCTACATCTTGTCAAGTCCAAGTGCATCCAATACAGCTCCAGAGAAGCACCTTCAGATGCTCCATCTCCTGTCACACACACAGCTGCTTCTACTGGACCTGTTCCTTCTGGCCTATCCTCAGATGGCTCACTCCATAGACCCTGGACAGCAGAAAACAGCCAGCTCTCCTAAGACCAGACAAACAACCCCCATACACATTCTTCTAGGTTCCCCCTAGAGATATGTCGCCCCCCAATGCCAGCAGGAAGTAGCCAGATTTCACGACGACTCTATTACTGCTTCGCCATCACCTCTTTCTGATTTTTCTTTTTAATTAAACCAAAACGTGGGAATGTTAGTAATCTGTTAAACTCCACCTCCACAGTCACCTGGCAACAGCCGGTATGCTCCTCCCCAGAGTTACCTGGCAACAGGCAGGTAGCCCTGCCCACTACAAAAGGGGCTCCCTGCCCCCTCCTCACTCTTGCTCTGTTGAACTGCGCCTGCACGTTGCCATCTCCCCTCCCCCCTTCTCTTCCTCCTCTCTCCATGTGGTCATGGCGGGCCTCTACTCTCTCTAATCCTCTCTCTCTCCTCTCGCTCTCCCTCTCTCTTAATAAACTCTCCCTTGTGGGGAAAAAAAACTGGTTCTTGGGTATCGCAAAAGCTATGTAAGGTTATGAAGGATGGATTTAGAAAACTCTGATTTAGAGTCTTAAGTAATATCTCCATTTCTATCCTATGGCCCACCTCTGTTCTGAGGCTCATAGCTGTGCTGACCATGCCTTATGACCCAGAATGCCTAGGTTTGATCTGTGGCCTGAAGCAGTGAGCCTCTGATTCTCAACCTTTGGATGGCTTTAATCACAGCACTATAATCTTAAGTAATAAACTAGTACTGTGTGAAACACTCACAGGCTGTTCCTTTAGAGTGTGTCCACTTGCTAACCATGTAAAGTTGTGTCCTTCCAGTTCTTCTCTCTCCTTCCTACTCCAGGCATGAGGCTGCCCCGCCTGCTGCCTGTTCTGCCTCTGTGTGTCTTCGCACTTACTCTCAGCTTAAATGTGCCACCTCCTGTGACTGAGTGGTTGCTCCAGTGCTGTACCTGTCTACTCCACTTGTTTGCAGTATGTACTGTGTTGTTTGTTTGCAATCATGTCCACACTCTAGAAGGCAAGGTCCTGGAGAGGAAGTAAGCATCTCTTTTTGGATCCATCCCCTGGCCACTGGCTGCCTAACAGTTAATTCATTCCTATCCGAAGGAGGCTGGGTAAGGCTTAGAAGCAAAATGGTAAGGAGCAGGGGTGCAGGACAGCTACTTTTCAGGGTGCAAATTCCCAGGTTTGAAAGAAGAATGTAGTCAGATATTGTTTAATTCATATGGGATTAAGGTTTCTTATGTTTTTAATCTTAAGACTATCTTTTCTCAGGCAAATTGCTGTAGTGTATCATTGATGTTTAAACCTTACCAAAGTTTATAATTTAAATTACACATACACATACATAGACACACACACACACATTTCCCCTCTCTCCAAGCCTCAAAGCCCCTCCCATGCCCCACCCTTTGCTCACACTCAGATCCGAGGCTTCTTTTTAGTTACACACACACACACACACACACACGCAAATAAGTATATAAAAACACAACCTGCTGAAATCATTTAGTGTTGCTCAATGCTTTTCTGGTTGACCACTTAGTTTTGGATAAGGAATCAGGGAGCCATCATCCCTGAGGAAGAACAACTAATCTCTTCAGTCATAAAGTGCCTGTTGCTCTTTACCTAGGCATAGGATTTCTCCCGTCTACCCTGGGATGTCAACTGGTGTTTTCATTGTTCTGGTCTTGTTTGAGCAGCCATACTACTGAGTTTATGACTTCAACTTTCCTATCATATATAAACAACATGATCTCACAGCAGATGTTC